AATAAGACCTTATTATGAGACTGTCCCATACACTCATATAAGCTTATATACGTGTCATTGTAGACATCTCCTTCAGATTTCTTTTATTACAAATCCTGAACTCAGAAAAATCGTTTAAACTTTACTAGCAAAATATACCCTTTTGACTTGCCTGTCCTAATGTCCCATTTAGATGCATAATTTGAATGTCTAAATTAAATCCTACTGTAATTTCTTTCATTAGTATCTTTTTAATAAGAAACCCATAAAATGGTACTAAGGTCCATAGTGTGATTTACGCCAAATGCACACTAGGTTTTTTCTCATCATCTTCATCTTCTATACCTATAAAAGGGGAAAATATTTGTTGGTTTGATTGCTTGTTTGTTTGCTGTAATTTATAGACTCAAAAACCGATAAACAGATTTTTTTTCTGAAAATTCCTAATATACTACAGCATAGCCTTAAAGTAAGAGAGTAGGCTATATTAATTTTTGAAATTCCACTTGGAACAGGAAAAATAGCATCAAAATCGGAGGCGCCTCTGAAAAAAATTGTTATACCCTACAACACTATGTGTTGGGGGTTTTATAAGTGTGATTGGGCCAGAATTTATGTAACACCTCGAAATATTGGTTTCCCATATAGGAAAGTATATATGGATCTTCCTAGCTCGCCGAGCTGAGTCGATCTAGCTATGTATGTCCGTCCGTCCGTCTGTCCGTCTGTCCATGTTAATTTGTAATCACTTTACAGGTCGCAATTATGGTCCGATCTTTAAATGGAGGAGGGGTTAGGGTCAGAATAGAAGCCTATTTCTTTTGGAGATGATCGCCAAATGTTTAGGGGTTGAAATGGACCAAATTCTGAAAAAATATCGGATTTTGCAGTAGCTATACAGGTTGCAATTATAGACCAATCAACGCGGAATTTCGCATGTAGCTAGAGTTTAGGGCGGGGAAGAAGCCTACCAATTTGGGTGGTCATCGGATGATATTTAGCGGGTTAAATAGACCATATGTCTTGTGTTGAAAAAATTCAAAATTTTTCATTAAACCGCGAATATTTTAAATCCCGGCGAAATCACGAAGCCATGACAAGGTTACTTCTGATCTTTACATTGATGTTAACATCCAACAAATCGAATATATAGCAAAATATGTGCGATATATATGTATATCAAAGAAGATATGCTTGAAAGATCTCTTATATGTCGAGAACGGCTGAACTGATTTCGACAGTTCTCATTAATTCAGAATGGCCTCTTGGCAGGAAACAAAAAACGTCTAAAAAAAACAATAAAAATATCTCTGTAAAGTCGAAAATATTGATTTTGTAAAATTTTCTCATATTTTTTCAATTTTGTCATATTTTTGGCATATTTTCATTTTGAATTAAACATTTGGTAATATTTCTACAGCTAACAAAACTAAGTAGTTACGATATTAGGATATCATATACAGATCGCATTTATGGCCCGATCCTTACGAAATTTTGCATGGGGATCAGATGAGGGTGAGAATAGAAGCCTACTCTTTTGGATATTAATGCAATATATTTAGGGGTTGAAATGGACCAAAAAACTGCAAAATTGACAGCGGGTCGTAATTATCGCATTTGAATGGGGGTTACTGGACATTGCAAAAGCCAAGCAGTTTTGAATGGCCATCCAAATATATTCAATGTGTGAAATAGGCTGCCAACTTTTGTAGACAAAATACGAAAATGTCCATTCCAGTGACTCTTTGGAGAATTCACAAATACAGGAAAGACGCACTTCTGACTATTTCGTTAACCCTGATTTCGTGGAAGAATATAGAAGAATGTCTGTATCTCATATAGATGTGTTTCAGTCAAAAACCAGTAAATAATGTTAATCTTTTGCCACTTCTGAGAGATTATAGGTCTTTGGGAAATATTGGTTCCAGATCTAGGAAGACCATTTACAATAAATTGGAAATGAGCAAATTGGTTTCTCGCCTATATGAACAATATCGTGTTGTAGGGTATTCAACGGTCGGCCCCGCTCGACTGTAGCCTTTGCTTACTTGTTTTTGTATGCACTTATCTATCGATCGATTACAGACACAGTCTTCAAAATTAGTGTGTGTAACAAAATTTGGAGCAGAAATAATTTTGTCAAATAATATTGGAATCGGTTCAGATTTGGATATAGCTCCCATATATAAAGGGTGTTTTTTAAGCTAGATAGAATTTTACAGTGTAAAAAGTAACACAAAAAATTAAATTTAGATGAAACTTTTTTTATTTGTTTCAGTATACTCTGACAAATCATCAGGAATAGACTCACGCTACAATAGTCAAATCCTACGAAATTATCCAAATTTACTTGGAAAATAAGGCTCTAGAGCATTTGGTAAATGACCCGTTGTTTTATCGCAAAATTGTGTTCAGCGATGAGGTGCATTTTTGGCTTAAATATGGAGTGAGACCAGTCCACATGAGACCCTACAGACGCTGGTGGCATCATCGGACGTTATTTCTTCAAAAATGAGGCCGAAGCTCGCCTTACGGTCAATGGAGATCGTTACCACACCATGATCAATGATTTTTTGATTAAAAATGTAGATGACATTGATCCGGAGGAGATGTGGTTTCAACAGGATGGCGCTGCGTGCAACCATCGACTTATTGAAATCAAAATTTGGCGATAAGATGATTTCGAGAAGTGGACCTATCATTTGGCCTCCTCGATTATTTCCTGGGCTACGTGAAGTCACTGGTTTATGCTGACATACGGCCAGCAGTGGTCGAAAAAGTGCCCAAAAATTGGACGTCCAGAATGCACTTCGTCAAGAACAGCCGCGGTGCCCATATGCCCGAAATCATTTTCACATATTGATGTCACGTATTGATCTTTCGAATAAAAAAAATTTGATTAACATTTATTTTATTTTTTTTTTTTGTTATTTTTTATAATTTCAAGTTCTTTTGGGCTTAAAAAAACACCCTTCACATATTTTCGCCGATTTTATACATACAGGGTAAAATATAAAAACTGCAACAGAGTCAAACGCCATAATTCTTAATTTTTTTTTAATTTTATTGAATGAAAGCAAATAATGTCGGAAATGGCATCAACTTTTAGAAAAAGTTTAGATTTGTTCGAATTGGTCACCTTTGGCACGAATTATGGCCGTCACATGCTGCCCGAATATTGCTCTGCGGTATTTTGGCCCTTTCCTGGCGAAGCGCTTGTTTGAGATGATCGGCACTTTGGTATTTTTTAGTGCCAACTTTGCTTTTCAAAATACTCCAGACACAATAGTCCAACAGATTGGTATCCGGAGGTTTTGAATCTCATTTTGTAACCATTCTTGGGTGGCGCGTGCTGAGTGCTGAGTCCTGTTGGAATGTCCAAGGTCTGCGGCCAAAATGTTTGCGTGCCCAATAGTTTAATACGCCCTTCAGAATATTTTCTTGATAATATTCGGCATTTATTCTGATGCCACGGTCGATTATACGAGCGGAGAGCGATCATCGACCGGCGCTTGAGTTCTGGTGGCCAACCGAAGGTGCACATTTTTAGCTGACCTCTTTGACAAGTAAACACGATCATTTTGTTTGTTTACAAACTGCTAGACAACGAATGTTTTCTCATCGGAGAAACCCAAATTCGGCAGTTCACCAATTTAGGCCAAGCGAAGCAACTCTTTAGCTCTTTTGAGTCTGTTTTCTTTCTATTGCGGTGTAAGTTCTTGCACTTTTTGGCATGGCTAAATGGATTTACCCCTAGCTCATTTCTCAATATTTACCGAATGGAATATTTCGATATGTTTAGCTCACTAGCCATTTTTCGGACACTGCTGCGCGGGTTTCGATCAAGTAGGTTCTTTACTTTTCGAACCACTTCTGCTGATGTTGCTGTTTTCTTCCGTCCACTTCCTTGACGTCGGGCTACGATACTAGTAAGATTTATTCACATTTAAATGCTGGAGTGCTCTAACGATAGCCGCTTGTTGTTTTCCAACCAAATATGAAGAAATCACACTATCACGCTTGAATTTCATCACAAATAACATTTTTTTTCTGGAAAATTCTCACCAAAATGCTTTTGTACGCTTGTAAACAATATAATGAGCTGTCACTGGAATGATTTTAACAGCTATCGGACGAGTGGCTTAGAAATGATAGCAGTCTGAAGTTGGTTGCAGTTTTTTCATCTCAACCTGTATATTATTGATCAGCGTAAAATTCTAAGACGATTTAGCACTGCCTGTCTGTTGTAATCACGCTAGAGTCAAAACCAATAAAAATAGGAAGCTGAAATTTTGCACAGGTCTTTCTTTTATCTGCAGACAGGTCAGGATGGGCTATATCGGTCCACGGCATCGTATATCCCCCATATGACGGTAACTCCCTACATTCGGTATTTTGATGATTTCAGCTACATTTTTCAAGGGATTGGTCTGAAAATCCGTACTTTATCCCCTGAAAGAAAATTGTCTATATAGGTCCACGATATCGTGTAGCCCACATTAAACGGTACCCCAGATATTTTGACGATATTATTGACATTATTTACCGGAGTTATTTCAATTTTCGTATTTAGAAATCGTAATGGGTACTACACCCCATGACAAAAAATTGCATATGCAGGCCCACGTCTTCGTAAAGCCTCTACTTGCCATGGACTTGCAGCACTTCAACAACTCGGTTGACGATAATAATTAGACAATTTCTGTACAAAATATTTATTTATCCAGCAAATTTGTCCTACTCCGGAGAACTAGTCTCAACTTAAGTCTCTATTAATGCAAATTCTTTTGAAACAAACACATTTTTTTCTATGAGAAGGATGGATGTATACCCTTAGCATTAACCCTTATCTTGAAATGTATTTCCCCTCATAAACGATATTAACTCTTTCATCCACCTGCAAGCGTATCAAATCAAATTGAGTAAAGCTTCCATAATTTCACTCACATGTTCTCGACACAAACAAAACCGCTGCAAGCCTGTGTAAAATAGCAATTGTGGTTTTATAACGCCCCACCGGTCAATTTAAATAAACTATGGATGCTGTACAGAAAACCAGTCAGTCGGGCTTTCAATGCCATTCGTACAGCATCGTCATCATGAAATTCTTGATTTGTTTTAATTATTTATTTGTTTACATTACGCTGTGTTCGGCAGCGGCCATGGTAAGCATTAGCGAGCATCCCGGTAAGAAACTAAAGTTATTTGATAATAATGTGGAGCTATTATAGCAAATGACTTTTTTTTATTGAAGATTATCCCGGCCAGTGCTATGATTATGTGTATGGAGTCGGACCCGTATCATGGGGTCAAGAAATCAATGATCCTGTGAAATGTTTGAGTATAAAGTGTCGCAAAGGAAGTTGGCTGGAGAGTTATAGGTGAGATTTTTGTGTAACCAATTAATTTGTCTTAATTTTTTTTATTAATTTTTATAATTACTGTAGCTGTGGTGTTATTGGCGTACCTGAAGGCTGTGTGCTAAGTAATCCTATTGTAGCCCCCTATCCTAAGTGCTGTCACCGTGAATTTATTTGTAATAATGCCGATAATATTGAAAAAATATTGAAATAAAAACCAGTTTATACATCTGTTTTAAAATGACATACAAAGAAATAAATTTAGTGGGACCCGAGCACAGCGGTGATTAGATTCTTCAACAAGAGCAACACGTATGCGTCTCTCCCGAACACAACATCATACACACAACTATCTATGCATCAAAATGGAGCTCATTGTCAACGAAGGTACTTGTCAGAAGTATTAAAACCAAAAGGGAAAATGGACACAATCGATTTTTATACCCTCCATCATACATAGTATGGAGGATATATTAAGTCCGCGATGTGTAACACCTCGAAATATGCATTTAAGACTCTACAAAGTATATAAATTCTAAGACAATTTAGCCCTGTCTGTCCGTCTGTGGTAATCACGCTATAGTCAAAACGAATTAAGATAGGAGCTAAAATTTTGCACAGATCAGTCTTTTGGCTGCAGGCAGGTCAAATTCGAAGATGAGCTATATCGGTCCACGATATGGTATAGCCCCCATATAACGATACCCCTGATATTCGGTATATTGATGAGTTGGTCACATTGTGGTCTACACTAGGAGTTCCTTCTTAGTACCCTACCGCCTGGAAGAGTTTCGCCAATATAAGTCTTCCATATCGTATAGCCCCCTTACTACTGCACCAGCCGATATTCGGTATTTTAATTCTAAATTACAATCTACTATAGGATGGCAAATGGACTTCGGAGATGTTCGTGATTTCAAGGTACTGATGCTCAGTTGATGATCGGGAATTCGATGTTAACTCGTATCGTAGGCATGAGGGTGAACGACTCGTGGACAATACGAAAACGATGATGTCGGGTGCACACAATGAATACTTGGGTGGTTGATGTGAGGTGTGATTAGTCGACCACTTGAAGGCGATCGGATACTCGGGGATGGCCGTCGGAGGTTGATTGTGGGGAAGATCGGGAATTACGGTGTTGCGTTCGGGTGATGCTTACGTTGACAATTTGACGGTAATCGGGAACTTGTTGACGATTTGAAGGTAATCGGGAACTTGTGTTCATCGGTTGTCGACGATCAGGAATTACAATGATTGTGTTCGGGTGATGCGTTCTGTTGACGATTTGACGGTAATCGGGAACTTATGGTCGTTAACGATTTGAAGGTAATCGTGAACTTGTGGTCGCCGGTTGTCGACGATCAGAAATTACGATGACTGTGTTCGGGTGATGCGTTCTGTTGACGATTTTACGGTAATCGGGAACTCATGGTCGTTGACGATTTGAAGGTAATCGGGAACTTGAGGTTGTCGGTTGTCGACGATCAGGAATTACGATGTTGGTGTTCGGGTGATGAGGGTTGTTGACGATTAGAAGGTAATCGGGAGCAGCTGTCCAGGTCTTCGTGAGCGGATTGACATTCGTACTGGTTCGGCAGCTCGTTGAGGGTAGATTCGGCAACCGATGCGTTGGACGGGGCTCGGACGTGTAGATGGATCGGGGCTCGTTTGTGTTCGGCAGCTCGTTGAGGGTAGATTCGGCAACCGATGCGTTACGCTTTGTAGATGGATCGTGGCTCGTTCGGCAGCTCGGGTTTCTGTTATTCGGGTCGGCTACAGGGGCGAGGTAACTAGCCCAGCTACGATTCTATAACTATGTCTACTCCACTACCAACGTTTGACTATAATACGGAACAGCGAGCCGAAACCCCTGTTGAACAGCGAGCCGAAGCTCCTGTGGAACAGCGAACCGAAGTTCTCGTGGAACAGCGAACCGAAGTTCCTGTGGAACAGCGAGCCGAAGCTCCTGTGGAACAGCGAGCCGAAACACCTGTGGAACAGCGTACCTCCCGATTTTCGGTATATTGATGATTTTACCGACATTATTCACCGAAATTGTTCCAAAGTTGATATTTGAAGTTAGTAATGGATACTAGAGCATATTACTGGAGATTGTTTGTGCATGTTCACGTCTTCGTACAGCCCCCATATCACGGTACCTACCGATATTGGGTATTTTGATGAATTTAGCGGCATTATTCACCGGAATTGTTTAAAATTTGATATTTGAAGTTAGTAATGAATACTACAGCCTATTACAGAAAATTCTCTGTGCAGGTCAAATTTGCTATTTAAAGTTCGTAATTACACAGCCTAAGACAAAAAATTGTCTGTGCAGGTCCACGTCTGCGTATAGTCCCATAAAACGGTTTCAGCCGATATTCCGTATTTTTATGATTTTAGCGACATTATTTACCAGAATTGTTTCAAATTTCGTTCAGAATGGATGCTGCAGCCTAAGAAAATTGTTTGTGCAGGTTCACATTTTGGTATAGCCCCCATTTAATAGTACCTCCCTATATTGATGACTTTAGCTACATTATTCACCCATTTTTTCCAGTTTCGCGTTTGAATATTGTGATGGCTTATGCAGGTCCACGTCGTCGTTTAGGCCCTAATTTGAATCCTAAATTGAAAATCCACTTCAAAATATTACAGCAAACAATTTGTTTTTTTGGATATCTACTTACGTATTGGAATGCCTATTCACCCTTCTGGCGATATGACTTTTATAAATTTTCTGTAAATAATCTTAGAGCAGTGAGGAGTCGTCTTAAACTGGTCGAATACTCGTAAGAGGTGACTCGAAAATTGTTGCGATGCCTGCAGACGTTAGGTTCGGTACTTTATGGATGTAAGCCACATTTTGAGTTCTTAATGAGATAAAAAACTGCAACAAAGTTAAACGCCATAATTTTTACATTTTTTTTTTAATTTTACTGAATGAAAACAAAAAATTTCGGAAATAGCATCAAATTTTAGAATAAATTTAGATTTTTTAGAAATAGTCAACTTTGCCAAGAATTATGTTCTTCAAACGGCCGATGAAACCGTCACACGCGGACCGAATTTCGCTCTGCGGTTTTGGACCATTCCCAGCGAAGCTCTTGCTTGAGGTGATCGCCACTTTGATAGTTTTTCGTGTCAACCTTGCTTTCCAAAATACTCCAGAGATTTTGGTGGCCATTGTGCGCTGGAAATGAAGCGAGGAACCTCATTTTGTAACCATTCTTGGGTGGCGCGTGCTGAGTGCGATGGTGCTGAGTCCGGTTGGAATGTCCAAGGTCTGCGGCCAAAATGTTAGCGTGCCCAAGGTTTTAATAGGCCCCCCAGAATATTTTCGTGATAATATTCGGCATTCATTCTGATGCCTGTTATAGCGGCCCATACCATCACCATGGCCGGCGCTTGAGTTCTGGTGGCCAACCGAAGGTGCACATTTTTAGCTGACCTCTTTGGCAAGTAAACACAATCATTTTGTTTGTTTACAAACTGCTGGACAACGAATGTTTTCTCATCGGAGAAAACCAAATTCGGCAGTTCACCACTTTCGGTCAAGCGAAGCAACTCTTTAGATATTATGAGTCTATTTTCTTTCTGTTGTGGTGTACGTTTTTGTACTTTTTGGAATTTCAATGGCTCTACCCCGAGGTTATTCTTCAATATTTGCCGAATGGAATATTGGATGTGTTTAGCTTACGAGCCATTTTTCGGCCACTGCAACGCGGGTTTCGATCAAGTCGCTTCTTTACTTTTCAAACCATTTCTGCTCATGTTACTGTTTTCTTCCGTCCACTTCCTTGACGTCGGGCTACGCTACCAGTATCACGGTAACGAGCGATAGTACGAAACATCGCTCTAACGAGTTCAATAATTTTAATATTTATCGTGTTGGTGATACTTAAAAGTTTGACCTGGCCAAATGTAATCAATAATAATGTTCTTTAAGTCTTCTTAAATATGATTATTATTTTGTAAATCTTCAAAGCACATAGCCAACGCTTCGGTAGATAAAGAACTACTGATATGATCGGCTGCGTAGTACAGCCGTCGTCATCGATGGCGATAAGTCAACCCGCATTTGGTCTTTTGTTTACAATTTCTTCTGTGAAACAAAAAAATGGGAATTTCCAGTTGAAAAAGAGTACAAAAGCAAAGGAGAAATTTGCATGACGGTCGGGACTTTTTTTGTATTAAACAAACAACATATGTTCTCGTCTTGTATGCAAGCGATAGTACACTCAAAGGAAAACGTATACATATTATGAATTAATTAATAAAAATAATTACAAAAAGTGTTGATCCGGCTGGAGCGGACTTTTAATAACCGCGAACTCCAAATACAACATTTGAAACTAATTTGCTGGATAGTGTGCCACAAACCTTAAAAATGTCGAAATTCTGTAGGTACAGTTATATGGGACCCACACTAAACCATGGACCTTCAACAATTCCGGCGAATTATGTGGCTAAAATCATTAAAATACCGAATATCAGGAGGTACCGTTATATGGGAGCTATACGAGGACGTGGACCTGCACATAAAATTTTCTATTTTAGATTGTAGTATCCATTTCGAACTGCAATACCAAAATTGAAACAATTCCGGCGAATAATGTGGCTAATATCATCAAAATACCGAAGATCGGGAGGTACCGTTACAGGGTTGCCCATATTCGACGGACCCATGTTTTTTTTAAATCAAATAAAAAAATAAAAATTTGGCGGTTGGCAATTTAATTAATTTGTTCCAAGTAGATTTGTTTACATCAATTTTTGAATATGATATCTCTCAAATGGCCGCCTCTGGCGTGTGCCCTTTTTGCTGCATTTTCCATCGTTTTTGCCAACATTTCGGCCGGAATAGCGGCTATTTCTTCACGAATATTGTCCTTGAGCTCTTCTACGGTCCTTGGCTTGTTAACATAAACCTTGGACTTCAAATATCTACACAAGAAGAAGTCACGCGGCGTTAAATCGGGCGAACGCGGTGGCCAGTCCAAATCACCACTTTTCGACACCAAACGGCCCGGAAACAAATTCTTCAGAAAATCGATTGTTATGGAGCGCCGTCTTGTTGAAACCAGAACTGCCTCATACGCTTTCGACGAATAATTGGCATCACAAAATTGGTCATCATGTCGCGATAACGCTCCTGATTGATGGTAACAGCATGGCCATTTTCATTTTGGAAGAAAAACGGCCCAATGACCGTTTTCGCACTAACGCCGCACCAAACTGTGACTTTTTCGTCATGAAGAGGCACTTCTTGAATCTCCTGAGGATTTTCAGTGGCGTAAAAACGGCAAATTTGCTTATTTACGGTCCCATTCAATGTGAAATGGGCTTCATCGGACATGATAATTTTGTTCCAAAATTGCTCGTCATCTTCGGCCATTTCGACGAGGCTTGTCCGCAGCCAACATTCTTTGCGTCAATTGAATTTTGTACGGGAACAAATGCAAATCAATGCGAATAATCCGTTGTAAAGTGGACCGAGCCATGCCCAACTGCTGAGAACGGCATTTTAGGGATGTTCTTGGGGACCTCTCAACACTGACTCGTACGGCAGCGATATTCTCGGCCGATCGCCTTGGTCGACCTTTATATGGCCTCTTCGGATTAGAAAGAGCCTTACCAGTCGAAAATTTTTCGTATAAACGCTTAGTGGTGTTCTTAGAAGGCGCACTTCTCACATTTTTTAATGTTTTAAAAGCACGTTGAGTTTTCACAATTGACTTCTTGTAAATTTCAACTATTTCAGAGCGCTCGCGTGGCGTGTATTGGTTCATGGTAAAAATCTGCTTGGACTGACGCTTCAAACGCGGTATGTCATTAAGCGATGTGACATCTCTGTCAAAAGTTATGGCGTTGCCAGATGGGTCCGTCGAATATGGGCAACCCTGTACATGATGGCTATACTAAAACGTGGACCTATATGGCCTATTTTCAATACCAAAAATTCTGCAGACATTATATACATTTGAGCAAAAATTTTATCAAACTACTTCATTTCGTTCGGAAGATAGAGTGATTTTCACAGACGGATAGATGGACGGACATCGCTAAATCGACATGGAATTTTATGCTGATCAAGATATATACTTCGTGGGGTCTAAAATGTATATTTCGAGGTACTACAAACGGAATGGCAAACTTAATATACCCTCCATACTATAGTGGAGGATATAAAAACCTTGAAATGTGATATGAAAATCAAGACTGAGAAATAGGGTTGATACAAAAAAGAGGAGGTTTTGGTATATGTGGGATAGTGCTTGAAATCTCAAATTTGGCATTAGAGTTGATTTTGGGTTGGGAGGTGCTTTTGAAAATTCATACAAAAAATTACGAAATATACAAAATAGTACGAAATTTGATATTTTGGAAAGGATTGAGATGGAAATTTTAAATTAATTTGTATTGCAATTACCCATCCAATTATATAACTTATTCCACATCCGAAGTAGCGGGCACTTGCTAGTCCTAAGAATAAAAATATTTTTCCCGTGTAGAATGCTAATCGTCACCATTATAAACCAGTATTTTTTTTTTAATTAAAAACACGCTGATGTTTAAATACTTTTTGCAAGACCTGCTTCAAAGTCAGTATCGTATGGGCGCTCAGTTCAACAACAACAAGTCATGAATTGGTTATTTTTGTCACAAATTGCATTGCTTTGCACGAGTCTATCGATGGCAGCAGTAGCTCGGGGGTTTTACAAAGATCCAGGTAAAACGAGACAGACCGGCATTTAACAGAAAAACCGGCTTAAAGAAAAGATCGATCTATAATATTTGTGTTTTGCCTCTCGTCGTTTTTTAGCACATCCCAATAAATGTGTCATTAAAGAAATGAATTTAATTCTATCACCTGGAGATTTGGTACCACATCCCACACCGGGTATATGCGTACGTGTGGAATGCCTCAAGGATAGTTTGGCAGTATTCTATAGGTAAGTTTGGGAGAAGCATCTCCTTTTAAATTTCAGTTTGGTAATTTTTTGTTTTATTTTTTTTTAGTTGTGGTGTCATTGGTGCTCCAGATGGCTGTATTGTTGGGCCTCCCCTAAATGCTACGGCGCCATATCCCTTGTGTTGTAGCAAGCCAATTATTTGTAATACCATTGACGTAGATAAGAACTGAAAAGAAATATAAAAAGTTAATTTAGTTATTTAAATTTTAATGTTGCAAAATTTAGGAAATAATTGGAAGCATTGGAGTTAATATAGATGAAACCACGACTAAGTTATATACACGGAGAAAACTTTAAAATTCGATTCAAGATTAGTCATCAGAGATTTTAGGAAAGTATTCTAGCTTAGTGATAAATGTTATTTTCTACATTTTCAAAATTCAAACTGATAGGAAATTAAACCTATGGATGGACAAAATTCACTCAGGCGACTACGTGAGCTCTCATATCGGATAATGCGTACCTTCTTGTACCTCCCTCATAAAGGGTCAACATTTCGATTGACCAAAACGATCATAAAATCCAAAATATGCATCCGGTATTCTTCATATTTCGATCGATCGAAACCCGCGTCGAAGTGGCCGAAAAATGGCTTGTGAGCTGAACATATCGCAATATTCCATTCGGTAAATATTGAAAAATGAACTCGGGTTAAAGCCATTGAAATTTCAAAAAGTGCAAGAACATACACCGCTACAGAAAATAGAAAATAGACTAAAGAGTTCGGAGCTTCGGAGCCGAATTTGGTTTTCTCCGATGAGAAAACATTCGTTGCCCAGCAGTTTGTAAACAAACAAAATTATCGTGTTTACTTGCCAAAAAGGTCAGCTAAAGATGTGCACCTTCGATTAGCCACCACAACTCAAGCGCCGGCCATGGTGAGGGCGTGGGCCGCCATAACAGCCGATGGTCGCTCTCCGCTCGTATTAATCGACCGTGGCATCAGAATAAATTAAAGCATTTTGGCGGCAGACCTTGGACATTCCAACAGGTTACAAATGGTTACAAAATGAGGTTCCTCGCTTCATTTACAGCGCACAATGTCCACCAAAATCTCCGGATGCCAATCCGTTGGACTATTGTGTTGGGAGTATTTTGGAAAACAAGGTTGGCACTAAAAAATACCAAAGTTTCGATCACCTCTAGCAAGCGCTTCGCCGGGAATGGGCCAAAATACCGCAGAGCAACATTCGTTCAGCTTGTGACGTTGTCAATGGCCGTCATTGGACAAATTCGAACAAATCTAAAGTTTGATGCTATTTCCGACATTTTTTGCTTTCTTTCAATTAAATTAAAGATGTGTAACATTTATGGCGTTTGAATTTGATGCAGTTTTTTTATCTCACCCTGTACATATACGGCCAAAACGTGCCTCATTTTAGAGCCTAGGTCTTTTTGGACTAAATACGTTTCAGGACATTTGGAGTCGATCTAGATATGTCCACACATCCGATATTAACATCCGATTCCATTCAGACTTGTCACATCTCAATATTTCGCTCAACACAAGATTTGCTAAAAAAGATGGTAGATATCGGACCATTCCTTCTGGTGCTCTCCCACAAAGGTCAACATTTTGAATCTCTTCATATTTCACATATCCCATTATTTTTACCAACACAAGTTTTGTTTTGAAGATGGGATATATCGTTTCACCCCTTCTGAAACCTCCCCTACAAAGACTTACAATTTAGAATAACTATGAAGCTCATAAAACGTAAAATTAACACCCGATTCCCGATTCCGCACTTTTTAACATTTTCTAAAAATTATTATATATCTCATTTAAAGTGAAGGAAGTAACCAATACAGACCAAACCTGGCACATCGCAATATTTATATCATATTTATTTAGGTTCGATACGAAGAGGGCAACTTTGACCTATTCCTTCGGAACCTACTCCATAGAGGGCCGACAATTTGAAAAATCATAACAGAAGTTAAAATATATTTATATAATCGAACATGTGCTGAGGGTATACATCTGTCGGCAAAACCGACTTATACTTTTTTATACCCCCCCAAAATAGTATGGAGGGTATATTAAGTTCGTCATTCCGTTTGTAACTCATCGAAATTATCATTTTAGACCCAAAAAAGTATATATATTCTTGATCAGCGTAAAATTCTAAGACGATTTAGTCCTGTCCGTCCGTCTGTCCGTCTGTTGTAATCACGCTACAGAACAAACGAATTAAGATAGGACGATACAATTTTGCACAGATCTCTCTTTTGTCTGTAGGCAGGTCAAGTTCGAAGATGGGCTATATCGGTCCACGATATCGTATATCCCCCATATAACGGTACCCCCCGATATTCGGTATTTTGATGATTTTACCCACATTTTTCATCGGAATTGTCTGAAAATCCACACAAGGAGTTCCTTGTGCGTACTTTATACCTCGGCGGAGAATTATCTATATAGGTCCACGATATCGTATAGCCCTCATATAACGGTACCCCCGATATTCGGTATTTTGATGTTTTTAGCCATATTTTTCAACGGAATGGTCACAAAGGGTTCTCTGTGAGGTTAACGATAACGTATAGCTCCCATATAACGATACCCCGCGATATTCAGTATTTTGATGATTTTAGCCACATTTACCAATCGTGTTGTCTGAAAATCCACACACGGAGTTCTTTGTGAGCACTTTACCCCTGAAACGGAATTGTCTATACAGGTTCGCAATATCGTATATCCCCCATATAACGGTATATTCAGTATTTTGATGATTTTAGCCACTTTTTCCAATGGAATTATCTGAAAATCCACACAAGGAGTTCCTGGTGAGTACTTTATACGCAGACATAGATTTGTCTTTATAGGTCCACAATATCGTATATCCCCCATATCGGCACCTTCCTGTATTAGATATTTTAAAGATTTTAAAAGAACTTTTAATGGATTTTATTTATTTTTTTTTTTTTTTTTTTTGAAAATTTTCTAATTCGTTCCAAATGGTGGAGGGTATTCAAAGTTCGGCCCGGCCGAACTTACTGCTTTTTTACTTGTTAATTGTTTAGCTCTGTTTTCATAATCTGCCGGATTTTCCCCGTAATTACTTCTTGTGTTGCACAGTGTAATATACAATAGTTCGAAGCAAAAGAGAAATTATAAGAAATGAAATATAAACAATATGCAGGAAGTCGGCATTTGACTGAGAACTTCTAAATCGAATTTCAAATAGATTTACAGGTTACACATCGTGTAAATGAAAAGTGATTTTTCCATGCGCATCATTACCACTATTAGCATACTTTTAGGGGCTCCTTCGAATGTTCCTTTATTATATATAGTATGGAGGGCATATGAAGTCCGTCATTCCGTTGTAAACTCATCGAAATAATATTTTTAGACCCAACACAGTATATATATTCTTGATCAGCGTAAAATTCTAAGACGATTTAGCCATATCCGTCTTTAGCTTCAGTCTGTTGTGATCACGCTAGAGTCAAAACAAATTAAGATAAGAAGCTAAAACTTTGCACAGATCACTCTTTTGACTACAGACAGATCAAACTCGAATATGGGTTATATCGGTCCACGATATCGTATAGGCCCATATAACGGAAATCTGAACTTCTACGCAAGGAGTTTTCTATGAGTACTTTACCCCCCTGAAAGAGATTTGTCTAAGAACACCATTAAGCGTTTATACGAAAAATTTTCGGCTGGTAAGGCTCTTTCTAATCCGAAGAGGCCATATAAAAGTCGACCAAGGCGATCGGCCGAGAATATCGCTGCCGTATGAGCCAGTGTTGAGAGGTCCCCAAGAACATCCCAAAAACGCCGTTCTCAGCAGTTGGGCATGGCTCGGTCCACTTTACAACGGATTATTCGCATTGATTTGCATTTGTTCCCGTACAAAATTCAATTGACGCAAAGAATGTTGCCTGCGAACAAGCCTCGTCGATTGGAATGGGCCCAAAGGTCCCTCGAATTTGGGCAACCCTGTAGTTCCACAATATCGCATTCTCCCCATACAACAGTAATATATATATACCGTTTGGTGATTTTAGCCACATTTTTCAATGGAATTGTCTGAAATTAAACACAAGGAGTTCTTTGTAAGTTCTTTACCTTCTGAAAGCGAATTGTCTATAAGGTTCTACGATGTAACGGCGTTCCTTAAAGTATTATTTTTCGACAGAATTTTTTGGACATTTTTCAAGGTCATTCAAAATGGTGGAGGGTATAAAAAGTTCGGAGCGGCCGAACTTAGCTGTTTTTTATACCCTCCACCATTCTAGGGAATATTGGCTTTGTCATTTCGTTTGTAGCTCCTCTAAATATACATCGGAGATCCCATAAAATATGTATAAATATCCGCATAAAATTATAAATTGATTTCATGATGTTCGTATATATGTCTGTTGAAATCAAGACACATCCCACATTATTTAAAACCATTCAAATTTTAGATTTCTTACTCTATTCCTTTCCCAAATACCAAATAAGCTGCCATTTAGTACTTTTTAGTACGTATTTCCTAAATCACTTTTAAATATCAAACCTATGAACAAATGCTGACCCTTATTTCTAATTTCTGATTTCAAGAACTATCCATTAAAAAATGGAAAATTTAGCATCATGGAACTTTCTTCGTGCACTTGTAGAACGCATTTCGAAGGACACCCTACCTATCAGCAGTGACCAAAATCCAACATTTCGTTCGAATTTCCCAAAAAACATTATGGTACTATAGAAAAGTTAAAAGATTTATTTCTAAATAGAAGCCACATTCTTCGATTCACTGGTTCCATTTCTTTTCTCAGTCAGTCTGACAATAGAAAATAAGTAAGCAAAGGCTATAGTCGTGCGATGCCGACCATGTGATACCCTATAACACTACAATATGTTCGAACTCCCCTTATATTCAAATCCATTTTAGAAGATTTCGTTTTTTGAAATAATGTCAAAGAGCTCCGCCCAGAGGTTACCCTTAGTTTTTTGGCCCGGAGAATTTGGCCAATATTTACGAACTCCGTAGTTTTGTAAGTATTCAAAACTATTTCTCACGAAAATTGTGGTCCATTTTACAGCTAAATGTAATCTAATGGTCATCCAAAATGCTAGTCTTCTTCCCTGTCCTCAACTCCCTTCCGATGCAAAATTTCGTGTCGACTACAAAATTAGAAAAAATTAAATATTTTTAGTCCATTTGCACCTCTAAATGTACATCTTAAGAACAATAGGCATTAATTCC